ACAAGGTCGGTCTTGGCTGGTTCTTGGGGTCGACTGCTGCTTCTTATCAGGGACTATCTCCTGTCCCAGCCAGCCTCAACAATGCAAACGTTAAACATCAGTTCTCATCCCCTTGAGCCATGTCTACCTCTATTGAAACTTCTTTAACTTCATTATAAGCCAGATAATTATTAAACAATTCCTATCTACATTATCTGCTAAGGTTTCTGTGGTTCCCCGTCTCAAGTGTGTGCTTTGGGGGGGGGGTGTGCATGTGGCGTGAGTGCCGAGCGTGTTCTGCGTGCGGGGGGCGTGTGTCGCGGGGTGCGAGTGTTCACACAGGGCTGTGCTGGGCCGTGCGCGTTGTGTTACTGCCAGCGTTGCCCACGTGTGTCCGTACGCGTGCGTGCGTGTGTCCGAGAGTGTGTTGTCCTGGTTTCAGCTGGGATGTAGTTAACTGTCTTCCTAGTAGCTGGTACAGTGCTATGTTTTGAGTTCAGTATGTGAAGAATGTTGATAACACTGATGCTTTCAGTTGTTGCTCAGTAGTGTTTAGACTATAGTCAAGGATTTTTCAGCTTCTCATGCCCAGCCAGGGCACCTGACCCAAACTGGCCAACAGTGTAGTCCATACCATGTGACGTCCCATCTAGTTTAGGAACTGGGAAGGGGGGGGCAGGGGTTTTTGCCGCTCGGGGACTGGCTTGGTGTCGGTCGGCGGGTGGTGAGCAATTGCCCTGCGCATCATTTGTACATTTCAATCCTTTTATTACTACTGTTGTCATTTTATTAGTGTTATCATTATCATTATTCATTTCTTCTTTTCTGTTCTATTAAACCGTTCTTATCTCAACCCAGGCGTTTTACTTCTTTTTCCCGATTTTCTCCCCCATCCCACTGGATGGGGGGGGAGTGAGTGAGCGGCTGCGTGGTGCTTAGTTGCTGGCTGGGGTTAAACCACGCCACGTGTGCGTGCGGGAAGTTTGTGCCCGTGTGCCCAGGGATGCGCTGGGGGCAGGGGCGGAGCCGCCCCCGGCAGCGGGCTCCGCCCGAGCGGTCAAAGGCAGCGGTACCGGCAGCGGGC